CGGAGATGCGAACTCGTGACCCGCAGATTGCGAGTCCAGCGTCCTAACCACCTGGCCATGCCGGGCACCGTGCTAAATCTTACAAGAATTAATCGTGAATTTAGATCTGAATTATTCCTCATATACATGAAATGTTTTTTGCGGTATTTTCAAGGAACACGTCAAATAAATCTGTATTTTTGGCTATTGTTTTGATGAAATTATGCTCATGGTGACTTCAAAATAATCGATTCGGCTAAAAAAAACCCATTGACGATAAATAAAGTATTTTAATCGTCGAAATGCAGTCTTTGCAACGTTGTTTTCTTAAACTATATACCTGTTTGGAGAAATTTAAATAAGTCAGTAATGTTGAGATGCTGAACAAATATGATAACGTATGGCTAAGTGTCAACAGACTAGATCGGGATGATTTATTAGATTTGTTGATAAATATAACTACAGTAGAACTTCGATTAAGGAGCCCCTAGATATACCTGCACCATTAAGGGTAGAACTTTTCAGTTTCTTTATTTTTTTTCTACTATTTGTAACCAAAATAAACCTTGCAAAAATGGGCACCTCGATATTCTGGATTGATGACAGTGTCTTTTGTCTCGTTCTGTATAAGAGCACTCGATAAAGCGGCCAGTTATCTTTGTATGCCTGTACGGTATAGTGCTAAATTCCAAAGTTCCCGAAAGTATGACCAATATTCAAACACTTGCAAGACACAGCTATTATACTCCCTGACACCTCCTGTTGATAACGAACGCTCCTTGTCATGGCAACGTGAGACTCACGAACACCCATGTCCTGCATACAGCGAACAAAATGGGGGCCTTAAAATTCAGAAACTTAGTATAGTTAATATGGAATCCAGCTTTGCGTGGCTCAGTTTTGATATTAAGGACACCTTGCTTTTGAGGGCATTTGGACGCAGTCGGAAGGATGCCCTTAATGAAGTTAAAGTCGAGGTTCTACTGTACATAACTCTTTTGGTTAAATATGCTGATTTCGGGTTTCGGGTAGAGGTGCTTACAAAGCTCAAAATAGTCTTACATAAAATTTTAATTGTTTTTAGAAGGATGAACAATCACTTATAGATTTCGCACTGATTACAAAAAGTGCTTTTCTTGTTTTTGTTTGAGTATATTCTTGTTACAACACAAATGAGCACCTTTTTGTTTTTCTATTGATAATGTGTAAAGCACACACACATGCATATATCATAAAGCATATTATAAAATATTTTTAAAGGATGTTTTCAGGTCAGAATATCATCATGCATGGCTAATGTCCGAATATGAATGATAATATGAAATTTTTAGACCAGTGTAAAAGTACAGCTTAAAAAAGTAAAAGTTATTATTTTCATCTATCAGTCATTTCTACAATAATTAGTTCCTGCTGTATTGAATAGGCTTTTTAGGTAACCTAGCTAGGTCAGTGAGGGCCGTTATTTCATTTCACTAATCGCAAATAATGTGTACTTTGACATATTGTAATACCAGCTATTTAGAGTCGATTTATATAAAGTTGGAAATTACTTATTTATTATTCACTACATTGATTAGTATAGAGTTCATTACATAGTTGATAGATCTCTGGCTTATGCAACCTCAAGGTTTTTCATTCCAACTAAACGAACTTAAAATTTCATAGATTTATAAGATACTAGAGCTCATGATGCATGTAATTTTTTAAAAACATTCCTCTTTAGTCTTCTGTGTTTATTTTCTACAAAACTTGTTATTATTTTAAAATTCAGATTAGAAAAACAAAACAAATACAGATTAATAAAGACAAGAAAATTATTGTGAGCCGTTCACGGTACCACAATTTATAAAAACATATTTTAATTAAAAACATCTAAAAAAATTTCCTTTCTGGAAGATCAAGGCCCGGCATGGCCAGGTGGCTAGAGCGCTCGACTCGCAATCTGATGGCCACGGGTTCGAATCCCCGTTCTACCAAACATGTTCGCCCTTTCAACCGTGGTGGCGTTATAATGTGACGGTCAATCCCACTATTCATTAGTAAAAGAGTAGCCCAAGAGTTGACTAGCTGCTTTCCTTCTAGTCTTACACTGCTAAATTAGGGATGGCTAACGCAAATAGCCCTCGTGTAGCTTTGCGCGAAATCCAAAACAAACAATTCTGGAAGATCATTGTACGGACAAGAGATAAAAGAGTGCTTTAGCTACAAAGATTGGTGGCATTATTATTTTTTATACATAAAACAGAACATCGACGGTTTTAGTCTATTGAACAACTTTAAATAGTAATGTTTCTTGAGGTCCTTTCAAAGATCATTACATTTAAGATAAATTACGACGCCAAATATATTTAAAAACAAATACCGTTTGTTTGAATTTCGCGCAAAGCTACACGAGGGCTATCTGCGCTAGCCGTCCCTAATTTAGCAGTGTAAGACTAGAGGGAAGGCTCAGATTGCGAGTCGAGAGCTCTAACCACCTGGCCATGCCGGGCCAACAAATACTGAACAAAGCTGGTAAATATAATTATATTTTTTTAAAATTTAGACCTTTTTAAAGATGGAACTCAAAGTTAAAAGATCGAATGCTATGATGAAATACTTTCTATCTTTAATAACTTTTTTTAGAATTTTAAAAAGATAAATATGGTTTTTTGGGGTATTTTTTAAAACAATCCTTAAAATCGTATAGGTTCCTAGAAAATATTTCACAAGATATAAAAACATAAACTGTGGTAGAATTAATTTAATTCTTAAAACTAATACCAGAAGATTCATTGTACTTTGTAAGAATAGTCTAACGTGTAATAAACAGACACTCGTTTGTTGCCGCAGATATGAGCCAAGGCGATACAGGCAACTTAGGTTTTTTTGCTAAAAGCAAAGCTACACAGTATATCTGTACCGTAACCACCGTATGTATCGAGCCTCTATTTGTAGTTCTATATATATATTCTAACTTACCGCTGAGCCACTAGGGGGACGATATGTGTTTATCACCTATATATTTGATTCACTGCGAATTCATACCATTTGACGGGCAGTGCTATCTCGGATAAACTTATGGATGTAGGTTACCACAGGAAGGATGTTTGTACAAATAGGTTGCTAGTTGATGTAGAGCCAAATGACACAATATTACAAAAAAGGAACTCTTCAGTTTCAATCATTAAATTGAGAAAACTCACAGCTGAGCATCTAGGACATTAACGACTCCGAAATAACACCCAGGATAAGGCCCTAATTAAAAAAAGACTACTATAATTACAAAAATAAAATACAAAATCTTTCGAGTCAAAACGCCAATACAATGAAGTCTTCTTGGTACTGTCAGTAAATTAATAATAAAGATTATAAATTGATGAAGGCCACAAAGCTTCTAGCCACATTTCAAAATCAACAAGTATTTTACTGAGAACAAAAACGAGCTACTTCCAATGCAGTTCAATATGCATTTTGGTCTAGTTAAAATTGTTTGTATAGCGAAGAGCATGTGGAGCATTTGATCCCAGACTGACCTTGCAAAAGCTTGTAACGATAGGGTATCTGCCAATAGTACGTAATCATGGCCATCAGACTGAGAACAATCGACAATGTTTGAAATAGTCATGGGGGGGGGGGGAGAGAACAGAATCTAGTATATCGTTCTCATAAAAACTGATTAACTCCCGGTAAACAAAGCAAACAGTTAGCATGAAACTAACACATTTTAAAGATGATTTTATTTAGATTACATTGCTTCAACTAGATAATTAGATTTTTGTGGGACATATTGATACCCTGATTTTTTTCTTTTTTGTTTCTAGCTGTGCCAAGCCAGTGTGGTCAACAACTAGCCAGGAACGGCCGTATTGTTCATGGCGAAGATGCTTATGAGGGAGAATTTCCTTGGGCAGTAAGTCTCTTTTTCATACATTAGGTCAATACCCTTAAACGATTTCACTAAGAAACAAAATGTGCTCTACGAATAACGGTTTTCAATCCTTTTAACAATTTCATAAAAATACTGCGCTGTGTATTTATTTTTTATAAATGGGCCAGACGTGGCTAATGGTTCGCGAGCCGGACAGTGAACTCGAGGGTCCAAGGTTCTCGTGCCTTGACACTAAATTGCGCTCCTCATTCTGGGGACGTGGATGCGTTGTCACGATCAAATCCCACTATTCAGTTAAAATAGCCCAAGAGCTGGCGATGGGTGTTTCTAGATTAGATGCCTTCCCCCTTGTTTATCAGCTCAAAATTAAGGGCGTCTAATGTAGAAAGCTCTTGTGTAGTTTTTCAATAAATTGTAAAACAAAAATGTAAGACGTTTCTAAATCTGAGTTTATGCGTTTACTCTATCTGAAATCTTCTCGGTAAATTTGTTATAAAAACAATTTTCTCACGCTAAACGTAAGGATTTATCGCAAATTGTTAACACACTAAATCATTATATTTAGACATAAGTAAAGAAAAATGAAATATTTAAACCTTATTTTCACTTAAAAATGGATGTTAAATCTGAAATTCTTTGTAAGGGATAAACTGTCTAACAGCAACAAAAGCTTTGATCTATGTAGATGATGCTCTATGTTAGGGATAATTATAGTAACGAGACAAAGAGTCTTTATTCATATTGATAAACTAATTTTGTCGTTATGCAGGTATCCATTCGATTTGACGGGGAACATTTATGTGGAGGGACCATTCTGAATGAGAGATGGATTCTCACTGCAGCCCACTGTGTGCAACTGTACGATTAAGTTAATATTGGTGCAGCTCTTAACATATTCAGATCTATTCGGTTTGAGTCGTGTACATATGTTTATTTTCTGGTATAAATGTAGCCTTAACTGTAGGCAAATCACTCTTAAAACAATTTTGTTAAAACTTTGATATATAACTATATTTGCATGCCTACGTATTTTCATTGAGATATATTTTTTATCAGAACAGGCACGTTTTTACTTCTTATTCATTTCACCGCCGTATAGAACTTAGTTTTGTGCGAGCTTTAAATCAAGGGATATAGTTTTTCGAAAACTACCTAGGACTCTCTCTAATACAAATATTATGCTTCTGTATCTGAAAATAAAGTTTATATCATATTTAAAGGGGCCTGGCATGGCATGGTCATTAGGGCGTTCGACCCACAATCAGCGGGTAACTGGATCGAAACCTTTTGCCAAACCTATTCGTCGTTTCAGCCGTGGGAACATTGTAAGGTCACTGTCAATCCCACTTTTTGTTAATAAAGGGTAGCCCAAAAGTTGGCGGTGGGTGGTGTTAACTAGCTGCCTTTCCTCTAGTCTTATCAGTTCAAAATAGGGAACGATTTTGTCAACTAGCCTTCAAGTAGTTTTGGGAAAATAGATAAACAAACAAACCATATTTAAAGTATAAATAGTGTTTTTTGTCATCATTTTGGTTCAGTAAGAGTAATTATGATTTCTTACATCTTGAGTTGTTATCATAGAATTAAAATAACAACTGATAAAAATAGAAAAAAAAACAGATTGACTATCTCTATAATGTTAAACTCCATGTCGATTTTTTATTTCACATAAAATTTGACGGAATAAATACCCTTTTAAGATTTTTCGAAATTATTTTATTGTATATACATATATATATATAAAACGACTCGAAGCTCACTAAGTAATGGCTAAATGTATTCAATTTGTCTTTAGATACTTCGCTCGACAATTTGTCGTCCGAGTAGGAGAGTTTGATTTGTCCAAAAAAGATCTCATGACCGAAGATATTAAGGTTCAACAACTTATTATCCATCCCAACTATTCCAAACCTAAACTGTATTATAACGACATTGCTTTGCTACGGCTAGCAAAAGACGTAACCTTTTCTGATTATGTCAGGCCAACCTGCCTACCAGAAGCTTCAAGTTCTTTTACTGGTTCCATTGGCACAGTTGTGGGTTGGGGATGGAACAAAGATCCCAAAGAAGGTAACTACAAAAAAACTACTTAGGCTAAGTCTTGTCTATTTTAGTTTCATTTTATCACTGACCCTTCTAATATATAATTAATTCTGAATTCGTTATTTAGATATACCAAACATGTCGTTTTGAAGGCAATGCACACGTGTTCCAGGCTAGAATTATAAGTTAGCTTCTGTCAAGAATTATTAACATTATGATAAATATTGAGCATTCTGTAAAAAACCCAACAGGTGGAGAACGTGCTATTCGATTGCAGAAGGTCAAGGTGCCTATAATGAACTATACCCAATGCCAGAGTTGGTACCAAAAGGCGGGAAAGAATGTCGTGTTACAAAAAGGACAGATGTGTGCGGGTTACAAGGAAGGAGGCAGAGATTCTTGTCAGGTGAGGAAGTCTATTGTGACTCAAGATCAATCATTCAACAATCCTCTTAGTTAATCCTAATTACTCAAATTTATGTCGAGAAAAAACTCAAACCTGTTACTTTTTGTAAAATTTGTAACTAAAAGTTAAGTCGAAACAACAAATACACGGTTGTTATTTTTATTAGTTAAAGTTTATGGCTAAAACCTTTTCTCAACCTAAAAAACAAACAAACAAATACGCAGTTATCGCTTTTGTTGGTTAAAGTTACGATGATACTAGAAAAATACAAGTTACTTCTACTATAGTTATATCGATATTAGAATCTCGCAAGTGTTACTTTTCTAAATAATTTCGACCCATTCTAATGAGTAAGGAGTTATAAAGTTTTAAGTTAAGGGGTTATAAAGTTTTAAGTTCGTTTTGTTTACATAGTTATTGTGGCCAACACATATTCTTCAATTACTACTTTTTTGAAAACCACAAACTTAAGATTTCCAAATTATATAAAACACTTGTGTATCAAAACAAAAGGGGGCGTTATCACTGTATTTGGCAGAATTATCTTTTCGTGAACATCTTTTGTAGGAAGTCTCTGCTATCTTTCTTAATTTTTGACAGCTGATCATACCCGTCCATATGGGTATTTCTCAATACGAAAAGAAGTATAACACGTTGAAATTACGTATTTTGAAGTGTACTGAGTTACATTCACAGTTGAATTACGTATTTTGAAGTGTACTGAGTTACATTCACAGTTGAATTACGTATTTTGAAGTGTACTGAGTTACATTCACAGTTGAATTACGTATTACCACACGATTTTAATATATAAAGAGAACCCCTTTGTATGAAAATAATTAATACCGTATTGCTCCTAATTAACGCCCCCTCTCTAATTATCGCCACCCCAGTATTTTTATAAAGCTTACCTTGTGTGACAGCAACATTAATCCAACATCTAATCCATTTTTATTACCATAATTTTGATTTTATAAAAATGAAGAAAAACAAACACAAGCACACACATACACTTATTAGCATTGAAATCAACAAATCATATGTGAAAAATAGAATCCTGAACTGCACAAATACTATAATTAGCCCCCCCCCTTGCAGCTTGCAACGCTCTAGGGGGCGTTAAATAGTGGCAATACCGTATGTAGTTTTTCTTGACATTAAATACATATTTAGAAATTAGTTTAATTAGGTTTAACGTTCAAGTCTACTTGAATAATTAAAACACTAGAAATGATTAACTATAAGCTGTGTTATTTTGACACAGGGTGATTCCGGCGGCCCTCTTTTAATTAAAGATGGAACTAAATTTCTGATCATTGGAGTTGTATCAGCAGGAATCGGCTGTGCCAAGCCACTTCTTCCGGGCCTTTACACCGAAGTCTCCTTTTACTTACCATGGATGTTACAGTACATTAACAATATTTAATATTTCAATGTGTGTGTGTGGAGGGGGAGTATTGCTGAGTGCCAGTTTATAGAAGGAAAAACTGGAGCTCTGTTGTAGTCAAGCGATTCAGTAAAATTCGTATTGGAGGCGGTGTTAAGAATAAATGTTTAAGTTTTATGTCGATGTTTGTAAACCCTTTTTTAATGTAAACATGTTTGTCAAGTCTTATTTCTTAATTTCGTGAATTTCAGTAAAAACACGTATATTGGAATTTATTTAAACTTAAAAAAAAAGCCAAAATTATGGTTTTAACGTCGTAAGAAAAATATAAAGTGTGATTATTTTGTCAAATAATTTCACAAAATTTCTCTTGTATAATTCAGAAAATGTTGTCCTTTGCTTTAATAAACTGTGATTATGCTAGTCAAATGTGCTTTATTAGATATTTCTACAATTTAAAAAATATATCATTTCATTTGTATGTGTACTTGACTCCTTATTAAAGTACAGCTCATAAAGGGTTAAAAGTAAAATTATTTAATTTCTTAGATAATGTGTTGCAGGATATTGTTTAATTGTATTGTCTTGTTATTAAGCTAAGGTATCCTAGAGTTTTGTCTAATTTTATTGTTTTCTTATTATTTAATAAGCCCAACAGAAGAGCTTCAGTAGTTTGTGATGTCTGTATTTGTTGCAGAGTACTTATCACATTCAACCCCTCAAACATCTCGTTCTGAGTAGAAACATTTGAATATATATATATCTATATATAGTCTCTTCTATCATTTGTTTAACGGACACTGAACAAGTCATCTTTCTGCTAATGTGATGTTTTAAGACTCCTCTTTTTATACAGAAATCAGCTTCTTCAGTCTGCGATACATAACAATTTAATAGTAAGGACGTTGCACATTATAGTGATTTCTATCGTAAATTTTAATGAAAGATGTCCACTTGTTTTGTACAGTGACTGATATTAAACCGTTTAGCCTCTTTAAATTTGGGTTTATATAAGTCATTGTCGTATAAACTAAAAATAAGTAGTTTTAGAACAAGTTTATTGACTCTGATTTATTCACTCTCTTTGTATCAAAAACCAAAATCAAAAACTAAATAATTACAACTATTTCATATCATAAAAAAATATCTATCAGAAGAGATATACGTCAAATAATCGGAAAAACAGTTTCTAATCTTTATGGTTTTAGGTTTTCTTTCTTACAGTCAGAGTTTTAATATTTCAAATTTTCAGTGTATTTTATGATTATAAATGCGTATGCCAAAATTTAATTACAAGTGTTTTGTGTTGCATTTACTGTAGCTTCAGCGTGTTTAAAATGCTATACATTATTACTTAAAGCTGTTTTAATATCTGCATTCTAAGCTAATATTACTAAATTACTAGCCTCTATGAAGTAATATCAAATTTTGATTTAAATAAAGTTAACTAGAATATTTCAGAGTAGCTCTGAGTAGAAAAAATATCTTTAATAGAACGCAAAGTCATATTTTTCGTCGACATTTCAAGAGCATTTTACGAGTTGGTAATTTAGAGAAAAGCACGCTTCTTTATTTTAATCTTTTTAATTAAAGTTAAATGCTGTGCCAATTGTTGTGAATACTTTAGGCACCGTAATACGTAGTTATGTTTAACATACTTCAAATAGAAAGTATAGGGCATGAAATAGAATGAAAAAGTGTAAACTATTTTTTGTTCCTTTTTTATCTGATAATTTGTTCCTATTGCAGCTTTTTTTACGCGTGATTTAGAATATATAAGTCTTGTTTTATTGTATATCTAGCACAATGGAAAGTTTGAGATTTTGTACGCTTTTAATAATAAAATTGAATAAAATGCTTGCACAGGTAAAAGTCGTTTTCTTTTGTCACGTATGCTTAGTTCCACAAAACTAGTATGTAAATAGTATATAAAAGTAATTAAACTAGTAAAGTACAGTAGAAATAAAAATAAGGCAAGATACCAGACAAACGAATTGTCTATTGTTTCTCAGCCCAACTCATGAGTTCTGATACTGAATGAAAGTCTTATTGGGTAGTTACTTGTAGAAGATAAAATAGATTTAAAATGCTATTTTTTGCACATCTTTGATTTCGAACCGCAATAGTAAAATTAAGAGGAATGAGACAAAACAACAACATCTGCAGTTAACTTTTATATACAAATTTTTGGGCTTATTGAATTTTCCAATATTTCGCTAGTTTTGGGCGTTTTAGCTGTAACTTTTAAGGTAGTATACTACCTTTATGACTGGAGTTTTATAGAATCTTTTGTATGGAGGCACATCGAACTGAATGGATTCAGAGCTACACAACGCGATTTCTTTTAGTACGTCTTGATGAGATTATTTTTCGTTTTTGCTGTTTCGTTAATGATTAATTCATTATTTCGCTCTTGTTAATTAACTTCTTTATTTTGGATACACCCACGATTTAAGATCGGCTGGGACTAGTCGACCGTATAGGGTGAGTAAATTGAGAATGAAACCTTATCTGAAGCTGAAGTTACATTCCGTCCTCTTAATGTCAGATTGAAACGAATCTGATATGCCTTCCGTCGATGATCTTTTCTTTATTGGTTTGAACTTACAATCTTTGGATACCAGATCAACATCAGGTCTGTTTTCCTTCTTACTCTCAATATGGATACCAAATGTTATTCAGATCGTTCTTTGCTTTTGGAATCTGCGTGCTGATATTCTACAGATCATCCCTACACATGAAGACGTGATTGTCAAACCTTCTAATTCAACACTTTCTAACACCCACTCTGCAATAAATGGGGAGTTATTTGCCTTCGCAACAACGCAAGCTTGGTCTATCTCAGCAAAAAAACAACCTCCTCCATGTTGAATGTCTATGTTCTCTTGTGTAATCCGTGGCGTGGACCCATTAGTAACTGAAAAGGAAATTATAATACAGTAATATGCAAGCTCCGTGTATCTCAGCACAAACAACAACCTCCTACACGACTGAAAAGAAAATTATAGCTGAACTAACAAATAACTGTATCTCAATTTATAGAGCTTTGCACATCGAGAAATCACAAGGCCCAACATACAAGTTACGGATTCTCACTTGGAGTAAAGATGTTGCGGATCACCTTCTTGGCCATGGTACCTTCTTATTCAAGCAACCGTATACAGTTGAACTACCAAGAACTTTGCATCTTCAACCATTGTGCTGTGACCGCTGCCTTACATCCTACAGTCAAAAACGCCAATAAATATATTTTTTCATATTGTCAAGGCCTCCACTACACTCGTTTGTGTGGTAAACTGGATGTCAGTCCTCACTGTAACACCTGTCGACTGGACCATCATACTTATTCTTATAAATGTGAAAGCAATCATGCTTCTAAGCCAGATGATCATTTCACTGTAGCACCTATAGCTACGTCTGACATTGTGACTTCTGTCAAAAACTCTGGTTCTTCATCTCTAGCTTCAGAGGATCTTTTATACTTTATAATCATCACAATATTCATCAACGTGCTTTTGTACTCGATAAAATTCATTTTGCTGCTAAATTTATTTTCAAAATCAGTATGTAGACTCTTATTCTGGTTTAAACACACAATTTTACTTTCGATAATTGTTGAAACACGCATAATCAGTTCAGCTAGAAACAAATTATTGAATTTCCTTTTTGTTAATATATGCTCTCTTCAAATAAATTGACCTTTGTTGAAACCGTTATTGCTCGACAAATCCAATGATTGTGTATTACTTAATGAGACTTTCCTTAAGTCAACGTTGTTTACACTGTTGTTTGGTTACAATTTACATAGGAGTAACAAACCACAAGAAATAGGTTGGGAGAGAAATGGTGATTGGTTACAATCCTTCATTAACAGTTCGGATCCACAGTTGGCATCTCTACAGTTTCACAGAATACCTAACCATTACTCTATATTTTTCATCCCGTATAATCATATTTGCTATTGATTAGATCTTCAAAAGCTACATTATTATAGCTGATGCCAACATCCATAATCGCTCATCTTCCGAATTTCGACAGTTTAGTGTTATCCTGGAGTGTGTTGATGATTTCCTTTTACACATTCCATGTCATACATGTTCTCAATCAAATATTACACAGATGTTGCCCTTGGCTCTCCTAATGTTGCAACTCTACTCACGATTGACGTTCTTTTGCCTGTTGATAGTGACCATCTCTCCATCAATTACCAGCTTTCTGCCAGAATCTCGTACACATGACCATTACCTACTAAAACATCGTCGAATTTTCTTAAAGATAATTTGTCGTATTTTCAAAATCACTTTGACAGTACACTTGAGGACTTTGATTCAAATCACTCAAAATTTGAGGATATTGGTTATTTAGCTCATACTCTTGCATTTTACATTCCTTCGGCCATTCTTCAAAACATACCATCTGTTTATTACAGTGCACACAACCATCCACTCCCACTTAAGAATCTTTTCATGTTTTATTTCGTGGATCTCAACATTCAGTGGATCCTGTGGCTCTTAAACAACATAGGTGTCTTCAACAAACTGCTCTAGTTTTAATGTTGAAACAAAGATGCTACAATGGCGGCGAACATGCACCAAGCTGTATAATATTTCTTATCCCTCCATGTATTGAACTAAAATTAAATTACTAACAGGCCGATTGCAATCTCCCCAATATCCCATTCTTGTTGATGACATCCTCATACTTGTTTCTTAGAAAAGGTCAGTATCTTCACTCATTATTTTGAAACAGATTTTCAAATACTTGTTTGCCAATCTTCTGACGATGATATTACTCTGGACATTTCCCGTCTTGCCTATAACAACCTTTCAAAACTCACTCCAATACAACCTCGGAAAACAACTTCCTGGCCAATTCTTAGGCTGGATGTCGACCTCGAATTTCCATTCTAGAAATCTTTTCACGCGGTTGTCTGATGTTATCACCAATCATTTTAATACTACTCGGACACATTGTCTTCTGCTTTTTTGTTTTACTTTTAGAAAGCATTTGATACTGTTCGACACCATGGATTAAGATAT